AAAGCTTATTTTTACATATTAATCGAATTTAATCGAATGAATTCAAATAATTTAATTTTTATTTTGAATTGAATTCGAAATAAAATAATAAATTTAATCAAATTTAAATTAAATTTCAAATATCAAATTTAAAATCAAACTCAAACTCAATATAATATTCATTCAAATTCGATCAATTACATTTTTAAACCCCACCTTCCAAAACTAAAACCTACATTACCCATTTCCTAAAAATGTATGGGCAGCTTATTAAAACCAAAAATCATACACTACCAAGTAGGCAAGTACCAATGTAAAAAGAGCGACACAAACAAATCAAATAGTATTACTTGACTTACAACACAAAAAGTTAAATCCTCAATAACTAAAAAGCCCAACAACTTCGAGCTTTTCTAGATTGAACAAATAAAGCGTTCACAACAAGATTGGCAAGTACTATACATATAGCAGGCTGGTAAGTGACATCTATATGGGTAATGGCAAATGAGCCTCCGACTTCAGTCCTTGTTTCTAGGCACTTTTCTTGCTGCAAAGTTTCTCAATAAGATCTACTTCGTCTTGAACAGTTGCGATGTTTTGGGCATTGTCCTCTTCCACAGTGATTCCAAACTCTTCCTCGTGTCCTATCACAATCTCAACCTGAAAAAGCATTCTTCCAATTACAACACGAACTACAAGCAATAACCTTCAAGCAAAGGAAACAACCAATTGATAGAAGGTACAACAAAGAAAGGGGTAAAGTGGGAGAGAGCTTAGACTTGATGAAGAAATAACAAAATCAATGTCTATTGTTCTAGCCAACATGCAACAAAGCGTGACTTCGCACCTCATGTGATTTTTTTTTATTGTATATATTTTTAATTGAATAAATTTTATAATAAATTAAAATATATCAATTGATAAAAATTATAAGATAATTCATATTCAACATATTTTGATCAATTTTGATATAATAAGAGATGATTTTTTATATTGAAATTGACATGAAATGAGTTGAATTTTTTAAAAAAATTAGGTCAAAAGCATATTTAATACATTATGTCTTAACCTATTTCAAGATATATATATATTTATATTTATACATATATATTTATTGTATTAATAAAGCTTTTTTTTACCTTAATTTAAAAAATTAATATTTTAATTTCAATATAAGATGTTAATGTAGCACCATCAGTGAGCTCTTTTTTTATTTTTCTTTTTTTTTTTGCATTTTCTCGTTTTTACTTTTTTCGATCTTTTTTGTTTTTATATTTATTTTTTAATTGGAAAAACTTTATAAAAAAAAGGAGGCCAATTAAAGAATTCATGTGTCATTGGCATTTATTTTTTTATCTTTTGTCTTTTTGGAGGTTTTTTAATTAAATAAATTTTACAAAAAAATACAGTAAATAGAGATAACAAAAAAAATTACCCCCAATTGGTCACTGATTATTGCCAAAATGTTGTGCTTCAAAAGAATAATTAATATAATCGAAAAAATAAACAATAAAAATAAAAGACAAATAGTAAAAGCATCAATTGAGCTTTCAAAATAATAATAAAAGTTCAAATGCAATTTGATCTTGAATAATATCACTTTTCATGATTTAACATTTAAAAAATTTACTATTAAATATTTCAACTTTGCTTTCGTTAAACACTTTAAACCACTGTTTAATATCGTTAGTCAAAATATTGAAAAAAAAATTATTCATATGTTATTTTAAAAAGTAGTTTTTAATTTTTTAAAGAAAACGAATAAAAACATTTTTAGAAATTAAAAATTAAAAAATTATAAATTTTTATAAAAGGACCATCTTTCCCCTTCCTCCTACCTAGGGCTGTAAACGAGCCGAGCCGAGCCGAATAGTAAGAAGCTCGGGCTCAAGCTCGACTCACAACTCGGGGCTTGATACTCGGCTCGAGTTCGATCGAGTTTTATTTTTCAAGCTCGAGCTCGATTCGTGATCGAATTCGGCTACTCGAGCTCGCTCGATTAAGCTCGATTAATATGTAAAAATAAGCTCGATTCATATACTCGATAAGAATTCGATTATTCATGCTCGAACTCGAACTCGAACTCGGACTCGAAATATTTTATTAATTAAAATAATAAAAATATATTTAAATATAAAAGCTCGATTAGACTCGCGAGCTACTCGAGTCAGATATAAGAATACTCGAATTCGGCTCGATCGATAAGTCGAGCTACTCGAGCTCGAGCTCGACTCGACAATAATCGAACCGAATTCGAATTTTTTTCGAATCGAACCAGAGTAGCTTGCGAGTACTAATGTATCATTTACACCTCTACTCCTACCCTTCTCTTTCTCTGTGATCCCTTTCTCTCTTTTTCTTTTTTTTTTACTTTTTCTATTTTTTTTTTTTAAGTTCAAAAATTATAAAAAAATTAAAATTGATGTGATACTTTTTTATCACATATCATAATATTATTAATTATATTTTATCCAAGTTAACTTACTGTTTATAAAGTTAATGTTTATTGCAAAATACTTAACAAATCAAAATTTAGTTACTTAATCGTGATTCCTTTATATGTACAAAATAGTAAAAAGCGATATAATTCAAAAACTAAATTGCATATTAACCCTAATAATATTAACAATTACTTTCGATGTAGAAGATAATCAGATCAAATAGCATGGCACATATGAGCATATATTGAAGTACAGAGAAAACAGGGGAAACTACCAAGATCATGGTTATTGAATTAGTCAAAGTTGAAAAAAGCTAGGAACGAGGGCACAGATTTATTGTGCCGTCAAGATACGTAAGTTACAAAGAAGTTTCCTTGTTTGAATTTGGACAAGCCTAATGATGTCCTAGGGAGAGTAGGTAAGATTTAAGCAATGATCCTTTAAGTAAAGTTGTTAAAAGTTTTTTTTTTTAAATGATCAAATAAATATTAATTTAATTTGAAAATTAAAATTTATAAATTGATAGAGTTTATTAAAAATATAAAAAATTTTATTAATCATTAATTATTAATTTCAATCCAATTAACATTAATTAATTTATATAGAGTTCAGTTTAATCCAAACTTTATGAATAAATTTTTAATTTAATATATATTATATTACAAGCATATCTATAAAGTTTGTCAAATAAATACTTATGTGAATAACTTATATTTTTTACACATAGGGTCCTATAAGTAATTCTAAAAGATAAGATTAATTGAAAAATAATCCTATTTAATCAATGTTATTTAAATCAAACAAAATTTATCTCTCAATTAATCTTTTTCTAATATGTATGACATTTAAAATGCATTTAGGTTTTTCAAATATGTATAACATTTAAAATTCAAATAGCTTTAAAATTAAATAGTTAAAAATTATCTATTCTTCGTAATTGTCATCTAAGAATTATCCTATGCTTTTAAGTTTATAAATAGTATGTGCCATATATTTTTTTCTTTTTTAATTTGCAAAAGTTGGTTCAAAGGTATATCATTTTTTATTTTTTCTCTATAACTTAAATGATAAGTGAAGGTATGTCAATATTTTTTTAATGATTTAATTCATCATTTAATAATATATTTGTGTGGATTCAACATATTTAAATATATAAAATTAATTCATATATTATACGGATCACAAACTAATTTTATAAATTATTTTTACTAAACAATGTTAAGGTATTTTTTTGTGGCATAGTGCCCTGAGTTCGAATAACTTTAACAAATTATTATTATTTTCAAAACAGTAGGTTATTCAATGCACTCTTTTTTTTTTTTTTTTAAATTTTTTCTTATAGAAGAAAATGTGACTGAGGACGAAGACAAACCTTTTATTTTTTTTAACGATAACACATGTTAATAACTCAAATCGATTACTTTAAGTTAACGCCAAACCTCGTGTAAACTTCATTGACGCACTCAATCTCTTTTCTTTGGAAAAAACATCCATTAGTCTCTGTCGCAACTCGCAAGACTAGATGCTTTTCCTTTTGTTTTCTCTTTGTCGCAACTAAGAAGACTGGATGCTTTTTCTTTTTCTTTGGTGGTGATATAACTGATTAGAAGGCACCCCAAAAAAATTCCGAAGTCACGGCTGCTACAATTAAATATTTACTCTAAACTCACTTGTTTAATTTCCCTGAAACAAACTTCTTCATAAATACTATACTCAATTTTCCTTTACTTTTGATTGCCTCTCCAGAGTTTAATTATGGCGGAATCATTTCTGACCATCATTGCAGAACAGCTTTTGGAGAAGATAGTCTCCCTGGGTGCCAAAGAAACTCTATCGCTATGGAATCTCAGTAGTGATTTGAGAAGGCTTCAGGAAACCGTGACCTACATCAAAGCTGTGCTGTTAGATGCCGAAAAACGGCAGCACCAGAATGAGACGTTGCGCCTTAGTTTGGGGAAGCTTAGAGACGTCTTATATGACGCTGAGGATGTGCTTGATGAATTCAGGTGTGAAGCGCAGCGAAAGGAGTTGATCAATCGTCGAAGCATCACCACCAAATTGGTACGATTCCCTTCCCTCTCTATTCCATTTGCATTCCCTTTGAGGATGAGTCATAAAATCAAAAAGATCAACGATAAGCTAGATACGATTGCTAGTGATTTCAAAAGGTTTAATCTTGGACTTGAAGAGAAAGTTGAGAACCGGCGTGTTATTCTCAGGGATACCCACTCCTTTGTGATATCTTCTAATGTGATAGGCCGAAATCAAGACAAAGAAAACATCATAGATCTTTTAGTCAAGCCAACTGACGCTGACAAAATTACCGTCATCCCTATAGTTGGAATCGGAGGTTTAGGGAAGACCACGCTTGCTCAACTTGTGTACAACGATGAAAGGATCACTAGGTTCTTTCCCTTGAAAATATGGGTGTGCGTGTCAGATGAGTTTGATCTTGCTAGGTTGCTCTGTGATATTATTTACTCCATTACGGGGGAAAGATGTAATGGCTTACCAGTTAATGCATTGCAAATTCATTTGCGAATGCTTCTAAATGGTAAAAAATTTTACTCGTTTTAGATGATGTATGGAACGAAAGATCATGTAAAATGGATGGAACTGAGGGATTTACTGATGATAATGGGTAACTTTCAACAAAGTAAAATCCTTGTGACTACGCGGAGTTCAAAAGTTGCTTCGATAGTGGGTACTATTGCTTCGTACAAGTTGAATTGCCTTAGTCACAAAGATTGTTTGTCTTTGTTTGTAAAATGGGCATTTAGGGAAGGGGATGAGAAAGTATATCCAAACCTTTTGAGAATTGGTGATGAAATTGTGAAAAAATGCAAAGGGGTTCCATTGGCAGTGAGAACTTTAGGGAGCTTACTCTACATGAAAACTGAGCTACATGAATGGGAATTTATAAAAGATAATGACATATGGAAACTTGATCAAAATGAAAATGACATTCTACCTATGCTGAAATTGAGTTATAATCATTTGCCATCTCATTTGCAAAGGTGTCTAACTTATTTGTCATTGTTTCCAAAGGATACTATTTATGATACTGATTATATCGTCCAATTCTGGATGGCCATTGGACTTATTGAAAGCCCAAAGCAAAACGAAGAGTGGGAAGATGTTGGGTTACAATATTTCAAAGAATTATGGTCGAGGGGTTTTGTCCAAGATATCGAGGATGAACATACATTTTACACATTTAAAATCCATGACCTAATACATAATCTCTTGTCAAATGTGTCTCAAGATGATTGCTTAACAATTTATCCTCATACAATAAATGCTGCTGAAAATATTCGACATCTGTCATTTTCGGATGATAATCCATTGAGAGCTCCACAATCATTTTTGAAGAATTTAAAAGGTGTGCGGACATTAGTGATCCTACCTTCTTCGGGAAGAAATAGGATAATTGAGGAACATTTTATAAATGCTTCTATCTTGAATTTCAAGTTCCTGCGGTCACTTGATCTCTCCAATTCATTTTTGGAAGTATTGCCCAATTCCGTTGGCACCTTGAAGCATTTAAGATATCTTGACTTGAGCTTTTGTCGAAGAATGAGGAAACTTCCTACTTCTATCAGTAAACTTCAGAGCTTGCTGACTTTACGGTTACTCGGCGTTCGACTGATTGAAGTACCTGAATGTTTGCAAAGCTTGATCAGTCTCAGATTTCTAGAGATAACCACAGATTCTCTGCTTTTAAGGGATATTCAACCAGGATGTTGGAGTTCGCTTCAGTTTTTGCTCTTGGTCGACTGTGATATGATAGAATCTATATTTGAAGGGATGCAACACCTCACATCGCTGAGAAGACTGGTTATCCAAGACTGTTCTAGATTGATTTCACTGCCAAGAAGTCTGAAATTTCTTACCAAATTAGAGGAAATCCAGATACTTGGCTGTGAAAATATCAATTTGTGGATGGAACAAGAAGGAGAAGAAGACCAAGACCTTCACTTGCGGCTTGAAACTTTAACAATATTAGGATCAGAAGCGTTGAAGGATTTGCCACGGTTGCTTCTTCAAGGATCTGCTAGCACTTTTAAATCCATGCTAATAAGGAGATGTCCCAACTTCAAGGTACTACCAGAATGGATGCAAAATCTCACATCACTTAACAGGTTGGAGCTTGTAAATTGTCCAGCATTATCCTCTCTTCCCGAAGGACTGAATCGCCTCACCGCACTTAGACAAGTAAAGGTTCAACTATGTCCTGCGCTGAGCCAAAATTGTCAACCTGGGGTTGGTGCTGACTGGTCCAAGATTGCACACGTTCAAGAGGTTCATATTGAAGATAAAAAGATCGTCAAGCCACGCTCTAGGTGTTTACCAATCTCTCATTCTTTTTTCTTCCTTTATGAGATTTTTTTTTTCATATTAAATTTTCCAGAAAACAGAATTATAAGAAAATTGCTTTAAATGATATGTGCTAGTCAATTCATATATCTTCCTGAAATATCTAACATTTGCATTGATTTTGAAATGATCGTAGGTAAATTGGTCCGGATGCTTGGTCAAAAAAAAAAAGAGCAAGCAGGTGAGACGATTTCATTCAATCTATTAAGCTTGTTTGTTATCAGCAACATTTCATGAGAATCCGTCAATTTTTGCTACACTTTTTCATATATTATTACGCTTATAGGATCTGTTTGACTGAGAATTTTTGCTAATTATCTTTTGTTTTTGGATGCATAAAGGCAAATAAAATTATAATCATCCGTTTTAAAAGGTTACAATTAACTATAGCTAGGTGAGGGAAATAGTCATAGCTTGTGGTTCTTCTATAAGATAAATGGAATTACAATATTGTCTTGTGTTTCTCTTTGTAGTTACTGTCAAACTGAGATACTTAGATGCATGCCTCTGCCTACCTAGGAACTCACTTTCGGTTGTATTTTAAGATCTAAAACTCATTTGGCTTCAAATCAAACCACTGCGGGTAGCCCTTATGGTGTGGGAAAATTCAGCCAAACCCTGCAGGGCGCCGTCTGTTCAAAGCTTTTACTTTCTTTGACCGTTTGACGATCATGTGTCTTGAACCAGACCTGTTTATCTGTTTGCTTAATACTTGCGCTTTAGCTATTTGTTTGTGTTCTATCTGTTTGTGATTGGATCCTTTGGAGCGAAACCATCATCTCATAACTGTTGGGTGACTCCTTAGGGACAAAAGAAATCTTCTTGCTTGAAAAGGGAACATCAGGCATTCAACATGAAGTGCCCATTTCTTATTCAACCCAATGAGATTTCGACCTAAGTCGTGTAGTGTAAGATTTTAGACTATCTCATCCCAATGAGATTCACCCCAAGTCATTCAAGACCTTGACCTGATATTTGAGTTTTGGGTTTAACAAGTCCTGTCGTGTCGGCTGGATGTTGAGCTTTTTGTTTGGGCGTTACCTTTTTCAGGGCCTAAGCCCCCCCAAACTAAAACCTACACTGCCCATTTCCCTATAACTGTATGTGCGGCTTATCAAAACAAGAAATTATACACTACCAAGTACTAATTTAAAACAGCGACACGATCAAATCAAATCATTTTAACTCGACTTACAGCACAAAAAGTTAAATCCACAATTTAACCAAAAAGCCCAACAACTTTGAGTATTTTCTAGAATGAACAAATAAATAGACGAGAGTTCACAAGAAGATTGGAAAATATTTTAGATATAGCAGGCTGGTAAGTGACATCAATATGGGCAATGGCAAATGAACCTCCAACTTGGGCCTTGTTTCTAGGCACCTTTCACGCTGCAGAATTTCCCAATAAGATCTGCTTCTTCTTTAACAGTTGCGATGCTTTGGGCATTGTCTTCTGCCACGGTAATTCCAAACTCTTCCTCAAGTCCCATCACAATCTCAACCTGAAGGGGCATTCTTCCAATTATAACACGAACTATAAGCAATAACCTTCAAGTAAAAGAAACAACAATTGATAGAAGGTACAACACAGAAAGGGGTAGAGTGGGAGAGAGCTTAGACTTGAAGAAATAACAAAATCGATGTCTATTGTTGTAGCCAACATGCAAAAGCGTCGACGTGGCATCTCTCTTTTTTTTCACTTTTTTTAATATTTTTAAATTAAATAAATTTTATAATAAAATATATCAATCAAAAAAATTATAAAATAATTTATATCCGACGAGTTTCGATCAATCTTGATCTAATAAAAAATGATTTTTTATATTGAGATTGACAAAAAACACAGTTTTTTTTTTTAAAAAAAATAAATTCAGGTCAAAGACGTATTTAATCTGCTTCGTCTTAACCTATTTCAAGATATATATTTTTTATTATTATTTATCATTTATTTAATTTTATACATGCATTTATTGTATTAATAAAATTATTTTTTATTTTAATTTAAGAAATTAATACTTTAAACTCAATATAAGATGTTAATGTAGCACTAGCTATGAGCTTTTTTTACTTTTCTCATTTTTTTTATTTTCTCATATTTTACTTTTTTTAATCTTTTTTGTTTTTTTATTTATTTTTAATTGGATAATTTATTTTTTAAAAAAAGAGAGGTCAATTAAGGAATCTATATGTCGTTCACGTTTATTTTTTTATCTTTCGTCTTTTTGGAGGTTTTTTAATTAAATAAATTTTATAAAAAAAAGATAAATAGAGATAACAAAATAAAACAAGATTTACCCGTAATTGGTCCTAGTTATTTTCAAAATGTTGTGCTTCAAAAGAATAATTAATATAAAAAAATTAAAAATTAAAAAAAAAAGGAAAAGACAAATAGTAAAAGCACCAATAGAGCTTTAAAAATAATAATAAAAGTTCAAATGCAATTTGATCTTGAATAATATCAATTTTCATGATTTAACATTTAAAAAATTTACTATTAAGCATCCCAACTTTGCTTTCGTTAAACACTTTACACCACTAATTAATATTGTTAGTTAAAATACTGAAAAAAATGATTCATATGTCATTTTAAAAAATAGTTTTAAATTTTTTAAAGAAAATGAATAAAAACATTTTTGGAAATTAAAAATTATAAAATTATAAATTTTTAGAAAAGGACTATCTTTCCTCCTCTTCCTACCCTTCTCTTTCTATGTGATCCCTTTCTCTTTTTTTCTTTTTTTAACTTTTCTTATTTTCTTTTTTTTTTAAGTTCAAAAATTATAAAAATAAAATAAAATTGATGTGATACTTTTTTATCACATATCATAATATTATTAATTATTTTTTAACCAAATTAACTTACTGTTTATAAAGTTAATGTTTATTGCAAAATACTTAACAAATCAAATTTTAGTTACTTAATCGTGATTTTTTTTTTATGTACAATATAGTTAAAAGCAATATAACTCAAAAACTAAATTGCATAGTAACCCTAATAATATTAACAATTACTGTAGATGTAAAAGATAATGATCGGATCACACAGCATTGCACTTTTGAGCTTGTATTGAAGTATAGAGAAAAGAGGGGAGAACTCCCAATTCCATGGTTATTAATGTCAATCCAATTAATATTAATTAATTTACATAGAGTTGAGTTTAATCCAAAATTTTATGAATAAATTTTTAATCTAATCTAATATATATTATATATCACAAGGTATATACATGTCTGTCAAGTAAACATTTATGTAGATAATTTATATTTTTTACATGTAAGATTCTATAAATAATTTTTAAATTTACATTGTTTTTCAAATAATCCTATCTAATCAGTTTTCAAATTTTAAAAATTACAAAAATTAACTTTATTTAAGTCTTTTAATCCATCTATATTTTATTTTATTTAAATCAAACAAAATTTATCTCTCAACTCATATTTTTCTAATATGTATGACATTTAAAATTCAAATAGCTTTAAAACCAAATAGTTAAAAATTATCTATTCTTCATAATTGTCATCCAAGAATTATCTTATGCTTTTAAGTTTATAAATAGTATGTGCTATATCATTTTTTTTCTTTTTTAATTTACAAAAGTTGGTTTAAAGGTATATTATTTGTCATTTTTTCTTAATAACTTAAATGGTAAGTGAAGGCATATCAATATTTTTTTAATGATTTAATTCATCATTTAACAATATATTTGAAACTATAAAAAGTGCTATATGTCCATTTCCAATAAAACTAACAATTTTATATTTCAAAAAATTTGATTATCAACTCTTTCTTTTCAGATTCAATATCTAATATTGCGACCATTTTATATGTGAAAGAATATACCCATAATATCAAACATAATTTCATATTTTGTAATTTTTCAACAAATTATAATTATTAATTAGATTTGAGAAAAAATATATTATTTTCAATTTCGTTCATTTGTCTCTCTTTTGGATTTTTATTTTAAATTGTTTCTTCAAAGCTTAGTTCTTGAATTGGTGTGAACTATGCCTATTTTTATCTAGCAGCATAATTGAAATATTCTTATTTTGCTTTTAATTGACATTTGTCCGTTTAGGAATTTAATTTTATCTTATTTATATAAATAAATGTTATATTTAAATAAAAAATCATAATTATCGACTTGAAATTTTTAATTAAATATTATAATATATTATAAATTTTAAAATTTTGAATATAATCTTAAAAAATGTTAATTGGTATGTATTCTACACATTTAAATAGATAAAATTAATTCATATATTTTACGGATCACAAACTAATTTTATAAATTATTTTTACTAAAAAATGTTAAGGCATGGTTTTGGTGCATAGTGCCCTAAGTTCAAATAACTTTAACAAATTATTATTATTTTCAAAACAGTGAGTTATTCAATGCACTCTTTTTTTTTTTTTTCTTTCGGAAGAAAATGTGACTGAGGACGAAGACAAACTCTTTTTTTTTTTTTTTTAACGATAAGACACGTTAATAACTCAAATCGATTAATTTAAGTTAACGCGAAACTTCGTGGAAACTTCATTCACGCACCCAATCTATTTTCCTTGGAAAAATCATCCATTAAGCATCCATTAGTCTTTGTCCCAACTCACAAGACTTGAAGCTTTTTTGTTTTCTCTTCGTCGCAACTCCCGAGCTTTTTCTTTTACCAAAAATTGCGAAGTCATGGCTGCTATAATAAAATATTTACTCTAATCTCACTTGTTTAGTTTCCCTGGAACAAACTTCTTCATAAATACTACACTCAATTTTCCTTTACCTTTGATTGCCTCTCCAGACTTTAATTATGGCGGAATCATTTGTGGCCATCGTTGCAGAACAGCTTTTGGAGAAGATAATCTCCCTGGCTGGCAAAGAAACTCTATCGCTATGGAATCTCACCAGGGATTTGAGAAGACTTCAGGAAACCGTGGCCTACATCAAAGCTGTGCTGTTAGATGCCGAAAAACGGCAGCAGCAGAATGAGACGTTGCGCCTTAGTTTGGGGAAGCTTAGAGACGTCTTATATGATGCTGAGGATGTGCTTGATGAATTCAGGTGTGAAGCGCTGCAAAAGGAGTTGATCAATCGTCGAAGCACCACCACCAAATTGGTACGATTCCCTCCCCTCTCTATTTCATTTGCATTCCCTTTGAGGATGAGTCATAAAATCAAAAAGATCAACGATAAGCTAGATACGATTGCTAGTGATTTCAAAAGGTTTAATCTTGGACTTGAAGAGAAAGTTGAGAACCGGCGTATTATTCTTAGGGATACCCACTCCTTTGTGATATCTTCTAATGTTATAGGCCGAAATCAAGACAAAGAAAACATCATAGATCTTTTAGTCAAGCCAACTGATGCTGACAAAATTCCCGTCATCTCTATAGTTGGAATCGGAGGTTTAGGGAAGACCACGCTTGCTCAACTTGTGTACAACGATGAAAGGATCACTAGGTTTTTTCCCTTGAAAATATGGGTGTGCGTGTCAGATGAGTTTGATCTTGCTAGGTTGCTCTGTGAAATTATTTACTCCATTACGGGGGAAAGATGTAATGGCTTACCAGTTAATGCATTGCAAATTCATTTGCGAATGCTTCTAAATGGTAAAAAAATTTTACTCGTTTTAGATGATGTATGGAACGAAGATCATGTAAAATGGATGGAACTGAGGGATTTACTGATGACAAGGGGTAACTTTCAACAAAGTAAAATCCTTGTGACTACACGGAGTTCAAAAGTTGCTTCGATAGTGGGTACTATTGCTTCGTACAAGTTGAATTGCCTTAGTCACAAAGATTGTTTGTCTTTGTTTGTAAAATGGGCATTTAGGGAAGGGGATGAGAAAATATATCCAAACCTTTTGAGAATTGGTGATGAAATTGTGAAAAAATGCAAAGGGGTTCCGTTGGCAGTGAGAACTTTAGGGAGCTTACTCTACATGAAAACTGAGCTACATGAATGGGAATTTATAAAAGATAATGACATATGGAAACTTGATCAAAATGAAAATGACATCCTACCTATGCTGAGATTGAGTTATAATTATTTGCCATCTCATTTGCAAAGGTGTCTAACTTATTTATCATTGTTTCAAAGGATACTGTTTATGATACTGATTATATCATCCAATTCTGGATGGCCATTGGACTTATTGAAAGCCCTAAGCGAAAGGAAGAGTGGGAAGACGTTGGGTTACGGTATTTCAAAGAATTATGGTCGAGGGGGTTTGTCCAAGATGTCGAGGATAAACATGGATTTTACAGATTTAAAATCCATGACCTAATGCATGATCTCTTGACAAATGTGTCTCAAGATGACTGCTTAACAATTTATTCTCATACAATAAATGCTGCTGAAAATATTCGACATCTGTCATTTTCGGATGATAATCCATTGAGAGCTCCACAATCATTTTTGAAGAATTTAAAAGGTGTGCGGACATTACTGATCCTGGCTTCTTCAGGAGCAAATAGGATAATTGAGGAACATTTTGTAAATGCTTCTTTCTTGAATTTCAAGTTCCTGCGGCTACTTGATCTCTCCTGTTCATTTTTGGAAGTATTGCCCAATTCCGTTGGCATCTTGAAGCATTTAAGATATCTTGACTTATCCAGGTGTTATAGAATGAGGAAGCTTCCTCGTTCTATCTATAAGCTTCAAAGCTTGTTGACATTAAGATTGTGGATATTGATTGCCAATTGCAACTGCCTCGCAATTTGCAAAGCTTGATCAATCTCAGATTCCTAGAGCTAACAGGGGATACTACGCATATAAGGGAGATTCGACCAGGATGTTGGAGTTCTCTTCAGGTCTTGCACTGCTACAGATGCGAGTCGCTGGAATATTTGTTTGAAGGGATTTAACACCTGACATCACTTCGAACATTGACCATGAGATGTTGCCCTAAACTAGTCTCACTACCACGAAGTCTGAAATTTCTAACCAAGCTGGAGTGTATTGATATAATTGAATGCCCAATAATCAATTTACGCATGGAACTGGAAGAAAGAGAAGACAGAGACATTCACTTGTGCCTTAAGAAATTGGAAATACGGGGTGCACCACAGTTGGAGGACCTACCGCGATTGCTTCTTGATAGATCTGCTAGCGCTTTGCAACTCATAAAAATTCACCATTGTCCCAAGTTTGAGGTACTACCGGAATGGCTACAAAATCTGTCATCACTTCAAAGACTTGAGATTCTTGACTGCCTAAAATTATCCTCTCTTCCGGATGGCGTGGATCGCCTCACCTAGCTTACACAACTACAGATTCAAGAATGTCCTACATTGAGTGAAAAATATCGACCCGAAGTGGGTGCTGGTTGGTCCAAGATAGCACACATCCAAGAGGTTCATATTGAAGATCAGAAGATTAGCAGGTATGGTTTGTGGTACTTATTAATTTCTTTATCTTTTACCTCTGCTAGTTAAAATTGGCCATATAAGTCCCTCTTTATGCATGTATTATGTATACAACATTTGCAAATTTTAATGATTCGTATTTTTAGTCACAGGTAAATTATGAAGTGGATGCTTTGGTGAGAATTCAGGAGCGGCAGGTGAGACTTTAATCCATCCATTCCGACAAGATTCATTCGAACTTTAGAATTTTTTTGGGCTCATTGCTAGGAATTACTTTTCAGTTGTTTTTCTAACTCATTTCATTTAGTTTTGAACTACTGCATGCAGCTCTCATGATGGATGATTGAACCAAAGCCTGTAGGGTGTGGAGGCTAGCGCTAGCTGGAAGCTTTTTAGTTTTTACTTTGTTTGATTTAGAGTCGTTGTGCCAATGTTTTGTTGGCTTCAATTAAGGACTTTATAGATTATTGGTGAAATTAGTTAATGTAATTTTTTTTAGAATTTAATTAACGTAATCTTAATTTGCATAAGAATTGATGTAATTAGCACTACCAGTCTGTCAGATTTGCTCTTGATTTGAAATCAAACCATCATCACATTCACATATAAATATCTCTTGCTACATATTTGTGATTATTTTCTTCTATTTGTCATACACGGAAAAGGCATTCCATTATATTTAATTAATTCAAATTTAAAATCTCACTTTCCAAGCACAGGCATGTGTCATATTTGTAATAGTCAAAACATGTAACTCTAATTTGGCCAAAAAAAAAAATGTAACCCTTAAAAATATACTATAAAATGTATGGTTGGTGTTGGGGGCATATAGTGATTCAAAAGACATAATGGCCACTTTCTTCATCAGGGGCTTGGCGAATAGATAGGGACATTTCGAACATTTGCATTAACCTGATATGACACATTCAATTCAGTCACATCATCATTATCCCTCATTGACCCTATACCACTCATTTCTAAATATAAGCATCTAGTATTGTCATCACAAGTTCCATCTTGTTTTAAATCATTTATCTTTCTCTCCTTCCAACCTTCTTCATTTTGATTTTTAATTTGCATGTCGGAGTGCAAACGCGAAGAACACTCCCTGCCTTTGTATTTGACCCCTCTCTTCTCACTTTTTATTCTTTCAGGAACATTTTCACATCGAAGCTTGATATAAATATTTGGTGCGCCATGTAAGAGATTTTCCATTCATTAGCCAAGTATAAAACAATGCCACTTGGAAAAGAACTTTAAAAGAAGGAAGGATGACCTTTCTAGTCGGAATAGAGGCACACAATAGCCAACACTTGGACCTACCTACCATATAATAGGTTGGTCTGACCATGGAGCAATTTCAAGACTCTGACCGAGCAGATATAGGTTGTCAAAAATATGTTACAAACTATAACTCTACCCTAGGCTTCGAAGGTTTCAGACTTAGTTATTCTTAGCCAAGAAGTTGTGAAAAGGCAACCGAGCTATGAAGAGGTGAAAGCCTCATCAACCTCCAAAAAAAAAGAGCACGACACTCTTGCTCACTACTACCTAGTCACAACTCAATACATGTCATTACCCAAAAATTAAAACAAACTAACCCAGAGCCTTAGCCAAACAAAAACCTAGAAGCTCAAATGCCAACTATGGAGAAAGAGCTAAAGGCGAAAGAGGTGGCTTTCAAAGACAAGCTCAAATTTTTTAAAACCTCATCCTTCATCGAAGAAATCGACATAACTATGTCTTCAAAAGGGTTCACAATGTCAACCTTAGAAACTTGAGATGGTACTTTTAATCTTTTCGATCATTTGAAAGTTTATAGAACTAAGATGATGATGCAGGATGCGAATGAAGTTTTAATGTGTAAAGGTCATGCTATTACCTTTAAAGTCGCAGCTTGATCTTGGTTTAGTAGTTTTAAAACCAAGGTCAATCACAACATTTAAAAAGCTCAGCCATTACTTCCTATATCAATTTGTAAGCAGCCAAAAAATAAAAAAGATGACATTAAGCTTAAGGTCGATCCACCAAGGCCATAATGAATCCTTGAAAAACTATGTCACGCGTTTTAATGCGAAAGGGACATGACCTGGAACAAACAATCGCTATGGCCGCCTAAACAAGTGCACTCAATGACGAAGAGTATCACCTAACGCTGACCTTACCATTAGAGCCACCTAAGACTTTAGCCGACATGCTATTTGTAGCTGAAAAATATATAAACGTTGAAGCTACAATAAAAAATAATCGAGTTGGGAAAGGCTCATCCCCTCTCTTTGACGATCGAGGTGAAAGAGGCTCATCATTTTCCTTGGTTGTAAAAAGGAAAAAGTTTTTATGAGCCTTCCCTAAAAGAAGGATGACATAGGGCTTAGAGCCATAGTAGAGAAAGAAATTATACTGCACTGAATACCTCCTGAAAAGGATTCTAATGCAAATCGAGAGGAATCTGGTGCTCAGATGGCCAAAGCCACTGAAAGAGAATACGAGAAGGGATTTAACCGAAAGATGTGCCTTCCATAAAAATATAGGCCATAATATTGAGGATTGTGTTGACCTCAAAAATGAAATTGAACCTTTGATCAAAAAAAGTCAAATGAGGAGGTTTGTGGACCAAAAAAGAAAAAGCAAAACATATCGAATTACAGATGGCATTAAAGAGAGCCCACGAGGGGTAGGGAAGGCATGTTAAGGAAAACAAAAGAGGAAAAGTTTGAGGAAATGAGCAAAGATAGGAAAAAGGCTAAACTGATAATAATAAGCTTATTGCTGAAATGATTAATGTGATTACTAAATGAAGCTTAACCTCGGCTAAAAGAAAGTCCAACCTAACTATGATCATGGCTATTGGCTTTTCAACAAAGAAAGAAAAAAATTGGAAAAATGAACCGATCTCATTTAACTTGAAGGATTTGGAAAGAATCCAACTTCCTCACGATGATGCTGTAGTAATCACAGTTGTAGTACATAATTATGTGGTTAAAAGGATCATGTTCGATAATGGGAGTTCCACCGACGTCATGTACTATGCCACCATAAAGAAATGGGTATTAAAGAGGATTAGTTGCAATTGATTACCATAACCCTAGTAGGATTTAGGAACAAGCAAGTACCCACAAAAAGGACTATAAAACTACCAATCACTTTAGGGAGGGAATCGAAAATAGTCACCTTGGTCATAGAATTCATGGTAGTAGAGTCCCATCTATCTATTAAGTTATCCAAACATTGGAAAATGAAGAAATGGACTTTAGAAATTATTTTCATGCTTACCAAATAGAGTGTATTTTATCTTTTAGCGTGTCCATGGGTAATGAAATTCTTTGTTTGCAAAATGGGCATTCAACGAAAGGGATGAATAGCTATATTCGAACTTTAAGAGGATTGGTAATGAAATTGTGAAAAAATGCATGTTAAAGTGAGTTATCCCACATTTAATAAATTTTTAATATCTTGTAATCTTATATTCATGTTGGGCCTTTTTACTTACTATCAATTAGTAGTAGATTAGATGCTTAACATGGTTTCAGAGCTAAGATTTTCTTTTCGTTGTTCATTCCTATTTTGTCATGTGAAAGGCTTTTCCATCTTCGCCTACACGTGATGAAGCCTTATTAAAGTGGATTATCCCACGTCTAATGAATATCAAATATCATGTAGTGTTATATTCAAGTTGGGTCCTTTTACTTATAATCAATTAATTTTAAGTTAGATGTGTAACATTTTCAAAAGATACTGAATATGACATTGATTATATTATCCAATTCTTGATGCCAATGGACTTCTTGAAATTCCCAAGCAAAGTGAAGGCGAATGCATGGAAGATGTTGGGTTACAGTATTTCAAGGACTTATTGTCAAGGTGTTTTGTCCAAGATAGAAACTAATTTTATATCTTCAAAATGCATGATCTTATACACGATCTCGCATTAAATGC